CAAGTGATGGAACATCAATAAACTATTTATGGCAAAGCTACCACATTTAAAGCCACTCAACAAGACTATGCCCAACTCAACTCTCCACAATTTTTAGACGTGCAGCAAAGATCTCCAATAATAAACACCGCAAAGGAGAACAGGTCTACTGCCTATGTGAGTAAAACATAACACAAGTATTCTTGGAAGGGTCAGAAGTACGGGGCCTTCAACCGTATCAGTCTTTGTTAAAGAGGATCACACCACTACCAAAATTCTTTACGGCTAGACTGAAATACAAGACTTATTTTGTTATGAAGTCCTTCTTCAAGATGGACAGGCAGAAAAAAATATCATATACATGCTAAGGGTATGGAAGAAAGAAGTATTTTTCATCAGCTGCACTGCCACAGGCAGTTCTCAAGTACAACTTCAAGCACACAGTGCACTTTGTCCCTTGGTGAAAACTCAGAGATACTTGGCAAATATCACGACTCAAAACTGACTGTTCAGTAAAGCTAAAGGTACAAAACCACTCTCTTTGGTGGCAAGGCCAGTTGAAGAAGTTTTCATCTTCTTCCCCCAACAACTTGCCATACACAGTTTGCAATTTCCTTAATTGAGCTATTCTTGTGGTCAAGCTATAAAGCAGATCATGGGCACGTCTGCATTTGAAAAAGACCTCCAGGATGGATTTGCAATGCATTTGCTTCAGCCCACAACATTGCACTGACACACAGAACAGGAGGTGAACTGCAGTGCAGAGATGGAAATGGGTAGAAAAAGAGGTAAAGAAATTCTTCATCAGCAAAGCATCCCTCACACCCAACACTGGTGTGTATCTGACCCTTCAAAATAAACTACTTCACAGCACTTACCCCATGGGAGATTAAAAAAAAAAGAAAAAGAAAGAAAATAAAAAAAAAGGAGAATAAACTTCTCCCAAGTCAGTTCATTTCAGCATCAAATATCAGCCCCACTGCAATGGAGACAGCAGGATCACGCAGCCAGAGATGTGTGAGAAGCCAAAGGACATGCAAGACCTCACCAGCTCTTCAGCACACCGAGTCTCACCAGCATCGGTTTTTAAAGTCTAGACCTAAATGCTGCGGGATAAGGAAAGTTAGGCTACGTCTGACATACTCCTCGATGACATCTGAAGGCGTTACTAAGGGCATCAACACTAGCTGGATTTATTTCTGCTGAATTAAGCATCAACAGTTGAACAAATCCTCACACTGACTCCACAAGAGATTTCTAGGGCTTTGGTCAAGGTCTAGAAATTCCACTCTAAATTGTAATTTCTACATTGGTTTGGTACAAACATCAGAATTACTGGTTTGTAAACCTCTGGATCTCCCCCAAAATTGTTTTTGGAAGAAGTTGACATCCCATCAGCCACTTTCCAGTCCACTTGTACTGAGGGAGCTCTCCCTAACAGCTTACGCAGCACGTAAGTAGTTCAGCTATCATTAGCTCATCTATCATCTCCAGGTTTTTCAGAGTTTTTCTGAATACCATCCAGGCTTGAAGAGCTGTTACCGGCAAAACTGCCAATTCCCCTTAACATTTTCTACAGAAACTTCACATCTCAGTCCTTGTTTGAGGAGATGTCTGCAAAGTTTTGGCACGGGAGCTTTCGGAAGTTGCTCTACTTTGAAGAGACACATGAAAAAATTAATTCAGGGTGCTTTGCTGCTATGGCCTCATCTCTTTGGTGTGCTGCTCGTGCTCCCCGATCTTCTCCCGGGTCGACAGTCTTTGGTAGGATCCCTGTTGCAGAGTGGGTAGGCGTGAGTGTGCGTGTGTTCACTTTTATACCTTTTGGTAATTGTTCTTTAAATCCTTTTTGTCATACTTAGTGGTTTTTGGGGGGTTGGTTTCTTAACATTTAGCCTAATGAGCATCACAATCCTCCTCATTCTGCTCACTGAAAAATTATTTCAGGTTTTTTTTTTTAAGGACACCCTCCTCCTTTGCCTTACCTTGCTGTCCAAGCTCTGCTGATTTCTCTTAGGTTTCTTTTTCTGAGAAGTAGACAAATGACATCTTTGTGTAGTTCTTGTCACCTGCAAAGCTTTTATTCTTTTAGCTGTTCATTTTAGCTTCCTTTTATCAAGTTTTTGTGTTTGTATGAAGAGTTAATGTTAACTTTTGGGTTATTAACACAAGTTTCCTCTCTCTGAAACTATAAGCAGCAGCTGGTGTTAAAATTCTTTAGGAAAGGGAAATATTTCACTCTAACAATTTTATGTCTACTTATTAAAACTGAATTACCCCAGTACCTAAAGGGGGCCTATAGGAAAGAGGGGGAAAACCTTTTTAGTAGGGCCAGCTGCGTTAGGACAAGGGGTAATGGTTTTAAACTAAATCGGGGTAGGTTTAGGCTAGATATAAGGAAAAAATTCTTTACAATGAGGGTGGTAAACCACTGGAACAGGTTGCCCAGAGAGGTAGTGGAGGCCCCATCCCTGGAAACATTCAAGGCCAGGTTGGATGGGGCTCTGAGCAACCTGATCTAGTTGGCGGTGTCCCTGCTGACTGCAGGGGGGTTGGACTCGATGACCTCTAGTGGTCCCTTCCAACCCAAAACATTCTATGATTCTATGATTCTATGAATTAGCAGCCTTTATAAAGAAGAAATAGAATTTTTCCTTTCTAACCCTAATTTCTTTTCCTATGCACTATTTAAACTATTTAGCAGCAGCAAAGGAATTAATTTTGTAGATAACGCTACTGACATTTCAGAAACAGTTTTTTTTTTTTTCCCTCCAAAAAGAATCAGACAGGCCAGATCAAATCCAGGCTACATAAATTACAAACCTACTGTAGCAGCTTACTAGAACACGGAATTACTCATTTTAACTGACAAATGGTCCACACAGATATATCCCCCTCGTGTTACAGATTTTATAAATTCAGCTTGGATACATGAACCAAATAAAAAGCTAGCACAAGTAATGAAGCCAAGAGAAGAAAAACTGACCAGTTACAGGAAAATAAAGGAGGTAACTTATAGGACTTGCAAGAAAAGTGAGAATTATTCCATGTTTTAACATTTAGACCCGTTCTAAGGAAACAAACACACAAAAGCCAACTTGCTCCTTTGTTATCTTGGAAAAGCCCTTTAAGCCCCCCCAGCCCAACCGCCCCCCTACCCCTGCCATCCCACCCCCAAACCCTGGCCCTCAGCACCGCCTCTGCCCGGCTGTTAAATCCCCCCAGGGGTGG